AGGGCTGAGAGCCACTCCATCGTGCCCCTCATTCCCTTCCTCCCAGCCCGCTCTCCCCTCATCTTTACTCTGGTCCACAGAATATCCCAACCATTAAGTGCTCAACAAACGCCATATATTTAAAAAAAAACCCAAACAAACCCACAGAAAAAAGCAGCAGCGGGGGGAGGGGCAGTAATAGATTTCCGTCAGGATGTGCCTGACCTGTTTTTTTCAATTTCAGTAATTAGAAAGGCAGTGGGCCTGTAGGAATTATTCATAAACTGCAGGAGCTGTGCAGTATACATTTATGTTAAACATGTCAAATCCGATTGAAATCATGCCTGCCAGCACCATACTCCATAAACACACTTTTCTGCAACAATTTCCCAGCTCTCGGCAGCCCATTAATACCTCCTTTAATAGCAATCTACCACGGATTCGAATCAGGGACGCTCCATTGCACTAATTGCTCTGTGTTAGGTGAGCATCATGGATTAAAAAAAAAAAAAAAAAAATCATTAAAAAAAAAATAAAAGCCCTTCAGGCTAGTCCTCTAGAAATATTTCATTTCAATCTATATTTTAAGTCGAGTTTGTTTCTTGTTTTTGTGGAAAAAAATCTGATATTGCACATCTATACAACTGACGGTGCATTAAGAAAGTCTCTTTTGTAGCTGGGTCACTGCAGATGAAGTGCTTTTCTCCAGTCAGAAAATACATATAAGCCCCACCTCAAATCTCCAAAGTCTTGTACTGATCCACCCTGGTCTGATTCAGGATCTAGCTGGAAACCAATGTGTTGAATATTAATCATTTACATCCTGCCTTAAAAATGGAGTCGGGAATAGCCACGATTTCTTTCCTCCTTGCTGTTTTGCTTGTGATAAATCTCACGTTAGTCATGATGAGATAATTTCTAACGCTCAGCCATCAGGCGAAGAGCATCTCCCTTCCCCAGCACAGAGCTGGAGGGCTCTGGAGCAGAAAGAGGGAAGCAGGCAGGGCAGCTCCAGTGGGAGAGGGCTGCACCGAATGGCGCTGCTTAATCCCACTGCTGGAGAGAGAAGGAAAAGAGAAAGCAAACAGGTCCTGTCCAGAACGAGGGAACATCATCCCTTCGCTCCCCACGTGGTATTTTAGGAGTCACGTAAGAGCCTTAGTGCCCGTGAAGCACCGCTGCCTGTTAGGAGCCGAGGGGATCAGAGGCTGCGTGAGCACTGCTGAAAGCAGACGGCACTGCTGCTTCCCAGAAATCTTTTAGGAGCCACAAAGATGTGTGTGAAAATCAAGGTAAAAGGGATCCTTATTTGGGATGGAGTTTTCCACGTGTGTATTTTAATGGAAAGTATTTCCCCAAAAAAAAAAAAAAAAAGTGTTTCTGCTTAAGATTATTCCGTTTTAAAGTAAACAAACCCCCAAATCGATAAATTTCTTTTGCAGCGGAGACATTTTTACAATTTTACGGAGAGGTTTTTCCTTTCAGCGCAAAAACTGACACTGGTGCCGCCTGCCATGGGCAGGACATATGTACTGAAGAGGAGTTGAGCCACCCCGACTCATCACTCACGCCTCTGTGCCGAGGAGGCTTGGGAGACATACTCAACCTTTCATTAGAGATCTCCCAAATCCTCATGAAAACGGAAGAAATAACCACCCAGTGCCCCGGTGTGAAGTTAACAAACTGAGATGCAAAAAGTGAGTAAATTGCTAAGGACTGTAATGAACAAATTGCAGCATGATGAGCAGAAAACAGGCCTATCGACCTCCACTTCAACACACTCCTTCTCGGCTTCGAGCCTCCGCTTCCTCCTCACCCATCTCCCACTTTCACAGAACCGCAGGGCTGAGAGGCACCTCCGAGGGTCAGCCCGTCCATCCAAAGCAGGATAAACTGTGCCCACTTCATTCCCAACACCTCGTCTATCCTGAAAGATCGCTGAGGAACCTTCCCAGAAAATCTATTCCAGTGCCTCACAAGGTGTACCAGGAGAATTTGATTTTTATTTATTATCTAACCTCAATCTTTCTCCTTTCAATTTAAGGCCATTACTTCTTCTTGTCTACATCCTGAACATGGAGAACACATTATTTCCTTCCTTTCAGAAGCATCTGATGCACAAGGCGACTTATCTTGTCCTCCCCTTTGGTCTTCTCTTTTTGAGACAAAGAAGTCCGTTCATTCCATTTTCTCCTCACAGCTGACACGCTGCAGACCATGCTCTCTTCTGGGATGTTTGCGCTGTTTGGGCGTTCTGAAATTGCTCCTCAACTTTATTGACACCCCAATCTTAGAAATAAACACAATCTGTCAGAGGAAGCTTTCCAGCACTGCGGAAATGCACCCATTCCATAAGATTTTCACCTACATCATAATGCTTGAGCTTTGTTTTGAGACCGTGCTGAAAAGCAGCATCACAAGTCTTCCCAAGGAAGACATGCGAGGTACTGACTGCAAACAAGACCTTCTTCACACAGAAGGAAATTGGGTCGTGTTGACATGATTTGTTCTTGACAAATCCGTGTCGACTGTTACTCATTATCTTCCCGTCAGTACTTACAAACAGTTGTTTGGTCAATTCCCAGGAAAATCTGGGGCAAATGGAGCTGGCAGGTGTGCGGTTCCTCAGCTGCTCCTGTAGTCAAGGATAAGCACCATGCCTGTCTCCTTGCGGTACCTCCCCCATTTTCTGTAAATTCCCAAAAGAGAGCTGCTGACAGGCCTGAGGATGCTCCAGTCACTTTCACAAAACACCCAGGTATGAAGGAGCAGGTCACGGATGTGACAACATCTAGCTTAAGCACTCTGCGGCCTGTGCCTTCACTGCTGGAGGACAAGCTCTCCCTACAGCACCGCCGGCACAGGCAGCTCGGGTCTCTCATGTGGTTGGTCTGTTTAGTGAAAATGAGTGCAAAGAAGGCTTTACACTCTTTAGCATTCTTGGCATCTTGGCTGATAACCTTCCCACCGGGCTGAGCTGCAGGCCAGCTCGTCTCCTGCAGTCTCCTCCTACAGCGAGCGAGTACTTCCTTAATCCTGCCTGTGTGCCTCCCTGGTTACGCCTCAATCTGTACCATGGTGTTTTGATATTCCTGTACACGGAGACACTGGTCTTCTGTGACTGTCACGAATACCCTCCCCTAGCCCCTTTCCTTTCCATGTCTGAGCTACAGAAGGCCATGCCAACATAGCCAAGTTCCTCAAGGGAGCTTGAAAAGCAGAAACCATGCAAGACTGAGGTGTGGGACCTGTTTATGTACAGTGGATAACTTTTCTTTGCTTTAAAGGTCACGTTGTTACGTGTTTGAAAGCTGGACCTGAATTCAGCAACAGCAGGTATGTACATCTGGCTGAGGCTGTGCTCTTCAGCCTTGTCCAGAGCTCTGTGGGTTTACGTACATGGTCCGTGCATTCCTTTGTGTGTTGCCCTTTGAAGACTCAAGATGATGTCAATTTTTTATCTGCTGTTTCACTGACAAACATCAAAAATGGGTTAGGAATTTCACTGGTGGGATGAAGAAATAAAGCTAATCAAATTCAGAGTTTCTGGATAGTAAAGGGTTTAAAAATTAGGTTCTTCATTTTTCCTGACATGTTTTAACATATAAAATTACCCTTTTACATAGATCAGTTTTTGTAAGTGCATCAGGTTTGGACAAAGGGCCCTGCTTACCATTTAAGAGATTCAGTAAATACACAATACTTGCATCTTTCTGTGAAACTTTATGATGTGTGCTCTTACTTAGGATAACACAATCCCACACAGCAAGAGACTAAAAATCACCCTCAGCCAAGCAAAACCTGCATCTCTGGGTTGAAGAATGGGTCTGTGATGGGGAACAGAGCAACCTCAGCGAGTGCAGCCTGGCCTGAGAACGTGAGTTTCACCAAGCATTAAAGCACAGCCTGCTTTCTTCAGCAGTTTGGACACATCTTCCAATGGCTGAGATTAAACCTGTATTGAGGTGAAAGACAACATTCCATCCTTTTGAAGACTGTGTAAGCCGAAATATCTCTTTGGCTGTTACTATGAGGCAATCACAAACATGGCAGGAGAAGGCTGCCTGGAAGAAGGGTCTCTGTGCAGTGACAGAAGCATCATGTCAAGCAACTGTTAAATCTGCAAACTGACCGGGCTACCATGCAAAAACAGAAATAGGGAGTAAGAACTGCTCTGTCCTGGGTCAAGGAAAATGAGTCCCACCTCCAGTGCCTCCATTTCCACACCTACACTGAAGCGGTCAGCAAGTGCCAGCTGAGGAGAACGGCCTTCTCCAGAGGACAATCTTCCAGCTGCTTTCTGCTCAAAGGGAAGGAATATTTAAAAGATTCCTCCCACTCACCTCTACAAGAGAGCAACCATCTTTTGGGAAAGACAGAGTAGCCTAATACCTTTGGAATTAATCCATCCAAGGATTTTGCAAAGAGAAACCTTTCACAGTTTCTACTGCAACAACATAAGTAACGTCCCACATCTGCAGCTTCCGTGTCAGGATGTCACGGCTCCAGCAGAAAGTGAGCAGTTAACAGCGCACAAGCACAGGGTCTACCTCTCAGCTCTGCATTTCTCCATCAAAACCTTGCTACCAGAGCCAGGACCACAGTGAAAAAGCAGGCTAACCGTCTCTCAAGTCTTAGCAAAACAGGGTGAGGTTTCATGATATGCTTAATCCGCCCTAAGTGCTGGCTGCTGCCAGGAGGGGCAGTCCTCTTCTCCCTCCCCTCCCCGGCCAGCTGCTGATTCCCACTGCCCACAGTGGGACCAGCTGCACTGAGCACAGGGGAGCTCCGACCCACTGCCCCAGCGCGAGCTCGGAGCTGGGAGGGGGAACGCACGATCGACCACGGCACAAACTACGCGAGTGTGTCACGAAGCTACACCCAAAGACCTCACCAAGGACGACACTCAGGTCGTGCTGACAGTGCCGTGTGGCACGGTCATTTAAGGAAAGAGTTTTGCACACCATTGCTCCTCACACATCCTTTCCTGGATTTAAACAAAAAGAGGGGCTGAAACCCACCTGTCCATTTACTCTGGTCCTTGTCCCCTCCACTCTCTTGCTCCTTGGCAGGCTCTTCGGCATCACCGGCTGTTTCATTGGGCCCTTCCACATCTTCAATGGATTCTTCTGAAACAAGAGAAGCAGAAAGTGTAATGTAAAAATAAAAGTCAAAACAGAAAAGCAAGAAACTGTCACCGAGGAAGAGCAACAGCCAACGCTGAAGCACAAGTGCCGAGTGACAGATATCAGTATCACCCAGCATTCTCCCAACACTACTTGCTAGCTGGTCAAGAAAGAAACTACAGAGGGAAAGCGTGAGAGATGAAGACGGAATGAAGAATCTTGCCCACTTCGAGCTACTGACGTTCCCTGCGGTGTGATGTACAGTAAAACATGTGCTTGTTATGAGAAGGTTCTACCCAACCATGCCACCATGGTTGGAAGCATCAGGGACTGACCAGAGCCTCCAGCACCTTCAGCCTCAGCCTTCCTCCTCATCCCCATCTCAAGCTCTTCAGACCGAATGCCACTGTGTAGCACTGAACCTGGTCACCGAGACCCCCAAGTGCACTGCAGAAACACCCCCACTCACTGCTGCTCAAGGAGTAGCACAGTCTTCTGCAGGCATGGCCCTAACAGAAGGCATGGAGGAGTTTGAGCACACAGGCGGTATCACATAGGTGCAAACCCATGAAGCGAGAACAGCGAAGTGCTGAAAGCTGAGAACAAAACACCAAGTGCCAAATCACCGGTGTGCTCATTGCCGGTGGCACGGAGCGTGTCGACACAGCGTGGCGCAGCTCCACGCAGAGGCACCCTTGTCGTGTGGGATACCGGGAGCGGGATAGCTGCAGCCGACAGACCTCACACCAGGGCGTATCAGCTACATCATCATCTAATATCTTGGGTATTTACGTATAGAATCATAGAATGGTTTGGGTTGGAAGGGATCTTAAAGATCATCTAGTTCCAACCCCCCTGCCATGGGCAGGGACACCTTGCACTAGACCAGGTTGCTCAAAACCTCATCCATCCTGGCCTTGGACACTTCCAGGGATGGGGCATCCACAGCTTCTCTGGGCAATCTGTTCCAGTGCCTCACCACCCTCTCCGGGAAGAACTTCTTCCTGAAATAAGGAAGCGCGTGCAGCTCGACAGCTACCACGTGATTGGCAGGGGCTACATCAACTGGGAGGAAAGGGTACTTTTAAGCCATTATAGCCTCTTTTGGGCAGGATGGTTCATAATTTTAATGTGCATTATCTGGTCATGGGTAAATCCTTGGCTATCCTGAGTTTTCATCTAAACTATCTACCCAGTTAAAGCACCACCTCCTATCCTCCCCCTAACAAAGACAGGGCTCAAAATCAGGATTAAAAAAACATATTAGGAGATTGCAGACACTCAGCAGTGCCCTTGGAGAATGTGACGGCTTAAACTGGGGAGGAACTTGGAAAAGCATCCACAGATCAAGGCCGATATTAAGGAGAAGCACCGTGATTTATACTCCACCCCTCTTTCACAAGCTGGAATCTCGAGAGCTGCAGGGATCCCTGTGGTCTTGGCCTGGGAAAGCGGGATGCCGGTGTAAGAGGTGTGATGGGTGGCAGGGGTCGGGAAAGGCACCAACCACGGGGCAGAGTGAGATGACTGACGCGGGGGGGAGATGAGCAGGCTGCCTTGTGAGATGAGTGGGGTTTGCTGGGGAGAAGGGCTGTGAAAGCAGCAACTGGGCTCACGTTTCAGAAATTAAAATTCCAAAATTTTTCCCACTCTGGGGAAAAGAACAACATGCCACCCCTACCCC